CTGCAGAACCCTGTGGTTATTTTCAATATTATGTATTGTGTCATTCAATAATTATGATTGAACAACTGAATGTATCCGGCTACACCCTCCGTTATTCCCATCAGATCTCAAAAGCCAGGCAGGGCTGGGCCAATTCTTGGTACCAGCTGCCGCAAGAAGTGGGTTTAGTGGTTCAGGAGGAATCACACATCTGAGACAATAATGAATAATTGGTGTTAGGAGGCTGGAGATACTATCCTCTGGGTGAAACTGAGGCCCTCACCACTAATAGCCCATATAAATCCACACATAGTTTGCAAAATATTATGACAGAATTTAACATGAAACACATCACAATTACATTATTTTGAAATAACAAAATACATGTCTACACATTAAGCCACTATTTCGAAATAATGGTGAGATGGAGAACTTCTTACTCCCACTCTTGTAATCCTCATTTTACGAGGAGTAAGGGAAGTTGAAGGAAGTCGACTTGCTGTGTAGTTAGCGCCAAAAGCTGAATTAAGCTATTTTGACTTCAGCTATGCAGTTGATGTAGCTGAAGTTGCGTATCTTAATTCGACTTTTGCCCTGCTATGTAGAAGTACTCCTTTTGTGCTGAAATATTTGAGACTTAGGCCCAGATCATCTAGTCAATCCGAGATGGAGTAAAATCTGCCTTCATGGATCAGATTACAAGATTTGGACTTAAATTATTATAACCACACATGGTAAGGAGACAAAAACTTAGCTAAAATGTCTATCGCTATATAGATATATTGTACCATTGTGACTACAAAATGATGTAAGTAAACAAAGAGGGAAAAAAACCCTACAAGATGGTACATGAAAGAGGAGAATAAATACTTAAATAGTCTCAATTCTGCAAAGGTAAGTACTGTTCTTTTTGCGTTGCACTGAATCCAGTAACTTTTGAATAATTTTGTGCATGTGTGTAAGTGCATGTGCAAGAGAGAGAGAGAGAGAGAGAGAGAGAGAGAGAGAGAGAGAGAGAGAGAGAGTGAATTAGCTTGGAATGTTGTAAAGATGTATGCCAAGGTCTCAGCATCTGGAAAACAGACATGAGAACTATATTTAGTGCACAATGACTTGCAATAATTTCTGGAAAAAAAGAAAGAAAGAAAAAGAAAAAAAGAAAAAAAAAGAAAATGGGAAGTTGGCAGTGTTAGGCCTGTAAAGGAGTTATAATGAAAAAAGAACAACCAGGCTGGCAAAAGGAGTAAATAAAACCAAGGGTTACATGTTAGTATAAAGGGCTGCTGAAGAGAGAATCACTGTATAGAGTTAGCAGACATATTTATAAACACACTACAAATAATGTACAGTTCGGTATAAATACCACCCTAAAAAGAAAGTACAAAGCATTCCTAGCACAGAACAGTTAGCGGTTGGTCTGTGATGCACATGTATTTCTCCTATAACTGGTAAAAACTGCATAAATATGTTCCTTCACTCAGATATCTGAAACTTTTTTATATAAATAATAGCATCTGCAGGGGTTCTGCATGTGAATGTTATACCAAGCTGAGAATGCTTTGGAAATTCTTTGTTAAGTATGTAGATATTACTGTGCACTTTTCTGGGCACACTTATAAATAGATTACTAATGAAGTTACAGTCTGCCTTTTATAGAGACACACTTACAATGAAAATGGCATAAATATTTTCTGAAGTCCTTACTCATATTACTTGTAAACTCCTGAACGTTTAAAACAGAGAATTTTAAAATCAAGTTCCCATTTCTACCATTTATGCAGTCTGTTTACTTTTCATGCATTACTGGACTTGGACAAGGTAACATCAATGATTTAGATATTGGCATTGAGAGTACAAGCAATGCAGCTGGGGGAGCATTTATTAGGGAAGTGCCTATACCTCAGAGCTTGCAGGGGAGCAAATGGGAACCGCCTCTGCCCCCAGGCAAGAAGAGACCAGGCCTGATAGATAACCACGGGGCTGGGGCAATTACTGGGCCTTACAAGCAGATAGAGAGGTTGGGACAATACCTTATACTGCAGTGGGTGAGGGAGATGTTTGGAGCAGTCACCAAGCCACAGGGTAGATACACTGGATTAGGGACAAAGGCCCATCAGGGAGGTAGAGGACTTGGCACAGTCTGTACCCCTGTGGGAAGAGTGAGGGACAGGGACTGGAAACATGGAACTGACTGGCATGGTGCCCAGACGGGGTGAGGCAACCCCGCACTAGCTGCTTCCCCCCAGCAGACAAGGGAGACGTGAAGCTAGCACCCCCCCCCCCAGCAGACCAGGGAGATGCGAAGCTAGCGCCCCCCCTCGCTCCCCCGCAGACCAGGGAGACACGGAGCGGCTTCTCAGCAGACACCTCAGCTTGAGAATAAAGGACTGAGGGAAGTGAGGTGTGAGAGAATAAAACTGAGCTCTGGAGAAATGTTTGGCTAGAGTTTCCCCTACAATATGTACGAGTTCCAACTTACATACAAATTCAACTTAAGAACAAGCCTACAGTCCCTATCTTGTACGTAACCCGGGGACTGCCTGTAGTCCAAAACACTGGAGAATGCACTATATATAGGGAATAAGCCTAGATAGCACCAGGAAGCATTTTGCAGTAGGCTCTAGCAGGTCTTCTCTGACTCTTATGAATTAGGCAACTTCTCAACTTCAAATTATTTTGCTACAAGTTTGGATTTTTAGTGTTCAGTCATCATATCAATAAGTTGAAAGGGTGGACAGCTAGCTAGAGGGAAGCACTATCCCCAGTTAGCAGATAGCGTCTCAGTAAAGTACAAACAACATGAAGAGAAAAGAAAGAAAAGGAATCTAAGATACCAATGTAAAGAAAACCATCTCATTTTAACGCAAAACTTCTGGGCAAATAACCTTTGGTTGTCCCCACATTCATATATTCTAGATTGTTTAAAAATAAAATAAAAAAACCCAATACAATTATTTAAAGGAAATAGACAATAGCAAAACGGCATCTATTACCAAATTTCAGTGGCAAAAGTGCTATAAATTCCACAGACACTCAGTGAACCAGCACGGACAGTAGTACTCTAGCTGGTACGCCGCTGGACTTCCAAATAAGAAAACCACCATTGCAACCGGCACTAACTGAGCATATGGGCCAAGAACCAAGCAGAGCAGCTCAAAGAAACAAGATTCTTTTTTCATCTCTGTATGGGTTTTCTTGAGCCAGAGAAGAGGCACTATGAACTGATTATTCTTTGGCTACCTGGCACCTTTCTCTCACTACTGAAACCTGTGCAAAATTCCACCAAAATGTGGGAGCTCTTCACACAGGTATAAACAAATCCACAAGATGGACGAGAATGGACAAATCAGGCTGGTGGCTAGGGCCTTGCAGGGAAGCCTACACTGTGTGCGGAGTCTCTTCCTGTTTCGTAGCTAGTGGATGTTAGTTCCCAAGTAAATTCATCTGCCTCTTTCATATGCCACACATTCCTTGAAACAATAAAATCAAACCCAAGCAACTGTGTTTAGTTCATGCTGGTCAGAAAAGCAGAGCTGGAGAATCCCTGCTCTGGCATATCTGGAGCCTTCTGTATAGGTGCAAATTTATCTGTTGCTGACAAAGGGTGTCAACAACTCCTATAGGTGCCAGCCACAATTTAGCTGCAAGCCTGGAGCATTAACCATAGTTTCTGAAATGGTGCTGAACAGTTTGCTCTGTTATGCTTGAACTGAAATCCCTCTTCACCAATGGCTCATATCTGTGCCAGTTCCTGACCATCCATTGTCGGTAATGGTTAATTTTCCGAATGTAGAAAAGACCTAGGTATATTTAAAAAAGAACAACAGAGACAGGACAACTTTATATCCTAATATGGCTCAGTTGTCCTTACTCCAGCCCCATGTATTTCTACTCCACTAGGAATAAGTGGAAAGAAAAACAGAAGCCCATCTGCACATACACACACACTAGGGTTGCCAGGAGTCTGGCTTTCAACCAGAACCTCCGGTCAAAAAGGGACTCTGGTAGCCCAGTCAGCACTGCTGACCAGGCTGTTAGAAATGTGGTTGGTGGTGTAACGAGACTAAGTTAGGGCCTCTTCCTCGCTTGGCTTCTTACAATTCCCGGAAATGACCGGCATGTCCTTGTGGCCCCCACATTCAGGGCTAATGGAAAGGCACTGCACACTGTCCCTGCTGGACCCAATGGTTCAAATTCCCATTGGCTGGGGGCAGTGCCTACGGGGACGAGTAGTACACACTGTACTGAGCTTTCTGGCCGTGCCTTCACCTTGCTGCTTCTGGGTGTCACCTGAGGTACATGCCACCTGGCTGGAGTCCCCACCCTGAACTCTCTACCACAGGCCAGAGTCCCCTCCTTCACATTAAATCCCTCCAAGACCTCGCACTCCCACCTGCACCGCAACCCCATGCCCAATATCAGAACCCCCACACTCACCAAAACACCCTTCCAGAGCCTGCATCTACTCATCCTCCCACACCCAATCTCCTGCCCCAATCCTGAGACCCTTCCCATAGTCCAGCCTGGAGGCCCCTCCTATAGTGCAAATCCCTCCAGTTGGATCCCTCAACTCTGTGCTGCACCCCAGATCCCTGCTCCTGCCTAATGAAAGTGAGAAAGAGGCTGGGAGAGACAAAAGACAGAGGGACAGGGGCAGGAATGAGTCAGCTTCAGAGAAGAGATGGGGCAAGGGGAAGGGAAAGGGCATCAGTGTTTAGTTTTATGCCATTAGAAAAGTTGGCAACCCTAATGTACATGTTTAAGTGTTTCCAGAATTGTGGGAGGGGTATCATTCAGCTAAACCAGAGCCAAATATTTGGGTGTTAACTCAAATTAGCCTCAGATCCTTTTGTTCCCCAAACCTAGAGAATAGTTACCTTGAATGTTTTAATTGTGTAGCATTTGTCACAATTTAGATGTCATTAATTTTACTTAAAAATTTCCACACCTTTCCAACACAGGTTAAACAGCTTTTAGGAAGAGTCCTCTTTAATTCAATTTGAGGCAAATTAATCTAATAATTAGAGACTTTTCACAGGTAAGTCAATGTTTTTCTGGCAAAGACGACTGAGAACAAATACCTCATTTTGTAATAGATATTCCACTTGACCTGCATATTTCATAATAAATGTAACAAGGTTCTTCCTGGAAATAAACAAAAAACAAAAAACACAACCAACATTCAGTTAATGGAAGTCAGAAAAAGAAAGTGGGCATTATTTTTACTTTACACTATGAATCAGGAATAACTTCACTGGCCACGGTGATTTTACAGTGATTGGTGTAGACAGGAATTCAGAATCAAGACAAGAGCTTATATAAATTTCAAAGAATTCTAGGCCTGATTCTTCACCACCATTAATTTGTCCCTGTGCAAAGTATGTTTAAAATGCTACCATTCAAATCTGGTGATATTTTATACCTACTTTTTACAAATGTAAGTCCCCAGTTCAGCAAACCACTTAAGCACATGCTTAGGTTTATGAAGTTGCTTAAGTCTCATTGACTTTGTGTGTTTAAAAGTTAAGTGTGTGCTTAAATATTTTTTTGAGCAGAGACGGACTTAAAGTTTTTAAGCAAACACTTAACTTTTAAACATATAAAGTCAAGGGGTATGTTTTACAGCTTAGGGGTATGTCTACACTGCACGCTTATTTTGAAATAAGTTATTTTGGAATAGCTTATTTTGAAATAGCACCTCCACCCTACAGAGAGGCCTCAAAATTAGTCCAAGGCAGGCTTCCCTAATGTAGATGTGCGATCTCGATTTAGAGCCCCAGGAAGCACTGGGGAGGAATAACTTAGAAAGGCCCTGGTGAGGGTCTATTTCAAAAAAGCAGCAGTGGAGCGTCTACACACGCCTTATTTCGAAATAGCTATTTCCGAATAGGCATTATTCCTCGTAGAATGAAGTTTACAGGTTATGGAATAAACTATTATTTCAAAATCATTTTGAAATAACGGAAGGGCTGTGTAGATGCTCACACTGTTATTTCAAAATAACACTAGTTATATCAAAATAACAGTGCAGTGTAGATGCCCCTTATGTCACAAAATAGGTAGAAATCTATGAATGATCAAGCCCTGTGTCTGCAAAACAATCGGCAATAGTTCTCAATTTACTGTAAACCAGATCACCAGTGTAGAAAAGTACATTTTTAAAAAAAGAGATACTGTTGAAATAATAAATTTGAAAAATACTTGAACGGTTTTGCAACATAAAGCAGTGAAATGTGAGGACCACTCTCCCTCCAATGTTGATTTCCACTCAAACCTGTACATGACCTTACAATCAATTAATTTTTTAATTACCTGACAACTGAACATCTTGTGGAGTACTGCCAGGTTTACTTTCCAATAGGCCATTAATTAATAGACTTCTAAAATGTATCCAACTACACCCATCAGGTTAGCCAGCATGTTGTTGCATTTAAGGGCATTTTGATGTTGAGGAAGATGGGCCAGAATTAGCCTTTTTGTAAGTGAATACAACTCCATCAATGTCCAGGTACTCACATAAAGTTTGAATTTAACTCCAGGTGTTTATTATAGTGAGGGATGGAAGTACAGCAACCACCAGTGGATATACTGATTTATTTCATTAGCTATCCACGTGCCTATAAGAGCAATTTGCTGATTTGCCCATTTTCTTCAGTTTATCCGAGGCCAACTGATAAACAGCTAAAGAAGTCATTTGTTCATTATTCTTCATGGGAGCTAGGGAGAGGGTGCCCATCTTAATCAATTTGGCTGCCTGGACAAAGACATTGTTTCATTCTGCCATATCATGACACAAATATCACAATGTGGCATTTCATTATGATGGGGCTGCGCACAGAGAAATTGCTATTAAGAAGAGCAAAGGAGGGCATCTTAGAAATAATTCACACTATAAGACAAGTCTGCCCGGCTGAGTTGCACACACTTTGTAAGCAGTCAGCATCATTCATATATCCCTTTGTCGAGACCAAAAACTTCGTATCACAAGAAAAGGAGTTATCATCACTGGAATGTCTCAACAAATCATTTTTTCCCCATCAAAAAAGTATAGATGTGTCACAATGGAAACATTTTGTAAACTGGAATTTTTGTTTTCCATCCCACCCTAGTCATGACAGCATAACATGTGAAAAGCAGTAGACATACTGATTTAGCAAAAATGTGTAGCCCACATGTCACATATGTCAAGGATGGAAATTCTGAGAATGCTTATAAGAAATTAAATAAAACATCCCATATACTTCAATGTGCCCTTGAGCAATTCACCTCACCTCTCTCTGCCTCATTTTCCCATCTGTAAAATGGGACGTATGGAATTTATCTTTCCATGTAAAACACTTTGGCTAGGTCTACACTACAAGTTTTATGCGCAAAACCAACTGGTTTTGCACAAAAACGGGCGGAGCATCCATACCTTACGCACGTTTTTGCACAAGAAAATTGACAGAACAGAGGGCTTTTTCTGGCATAGTTATTCTTCTCCCCGTGAGGAATAACTCCTTTTTGCACTACAGCTCTTACACAAAAAGGCTGGTTTGGATGCTCTGGAAGGGTTTTTGCACAAGAAATCCCTAGAGGCAAAAGCACAGGTGCTATAATGGCCATTTGCAGAATGGCCATCAGAGCTTTCTTGCGTAAGAGTGTCCATGCAATGTGGATGCTCTCTTGTGCAAAAGCACATCGCTTTTGCGATGCGCTTTGAGGTCTGGACACGCTTTTGTGCAATAAGTTTTTGCACAAGAACTATTCTGCAAAAGGCTTCTTGCACAAAAACCCTGCAGTGTAGACGAAGCCTTTGAGATCTGTGGATGAAACACACTACAGGAGTTAAATATTGTTATATAAACAGTTAAATATTCCTCACTCCTTCAGAGGGAGCACAGTGAAAGTTGAGGAAGAGATCTGTTGCTGCTGGGTGTCCTTGACACATTAGCCCTAGCACTATATCGAACCATGTTGTAACTCTGCTTGTTAAAATTGTACCTCAATACAAAGAGTGTGTTATGAAGAGTGAAGCCATTATCCCTGTATGTATATACATATTTGGCTCTGAAAATTCTGTCTTTATGAACAGAAGCATGAGAAAATTACAACTTCTTCAATTCAGGAAACTTGCAGGGAGGAGAGGCGGGGGAATTTTTTTTCCACCAAAACTGTAATATTTTTAAGTTCTCTTTTTCATAGAGAGACTTTTAAGATCTAAACACTGCTATAAATGCTGTATGATAATGGCTTTTATCTACTTAATGTTATTCTCATAGATTTATAGTGAACTCCTGTTTTAACAAGACTAATTATAACAGGGTTTAACTCAACGTGCTTGTAAAATAAATGCTAGAGATGGAAGAGAGCCACGGGAACATGGTGTGTGTGTGTGCGTGTGCAGAAGGGAAGGGGGACTATCAAAGGTACAGGCAGGGGGCATGTGTGGGAACCCCATGTAGAAAATAAAATGTTGGCATGGATCTAGGGGGACAGTGTGCCTCCCAAGTGCTGACATGAGTCACTTGTGCAGGGAGCACTATAGCCAGCTATACTGAAACTAGCCCAGTAGCCCGTCATAAGCACCTTCATCAGCATCATGATCACTAACACGGTGATACAAGATTGGCTCAGTGCTGACTCACTATCAGAAGAGGTATTTATTGAAAGGCCAGCAATGATTCATGCTGCATCTTATGTTATTTTTGTGGTTCTCCCATCCATGCACAAACTAAAGCCTGGCTCTGCTTAGCTTATAAGTGCAGATGAAATCACGGTCCCAGGACATCTAGATGTTGACAAGTTAATATACACAGTTATTATGTGCAACACCACAACTACTAACATTCTTACCTAGACACTTTCCAAATACATGCATGTTGTAGCAGCTGATTCACACTGAACTGACTTTGATCATCTTCATGCTGTAGAAAAAGAAACACATAAAGAATTACATTATTGGTGGCATGAAGTATCTAAGTGGTATAAATTTGTTTGATGCTTCATAATATTCTTTTATTGTTTTTGGCCCTGATCAAAGATTGATAAAAACCTTTTTCTCCTTGCTTGCATTTTCTTGAGCCCTTCGATAAACTTTCAAAGCTGGTCACACCACCAGCTTCACTTTGGAAAGCAAGAAGCTTTTCTTGAGTAAAATCCTTATCATTTTGGAGATTTTTCAAATAAAGACTTGGTTGCAAGTGGAAAAGGGCTGATGCTAGAGCATTCCAATCCAGGCCTGGATTTGGGGGAAGAGTTTTGGTCAGGGTTATGGTTTCTTTCATTAGGAAAAAACTAGGAGCCACTGGAAAAATTCCTAGCTAGTCTTAGATTTCAAGCACACTCAAACTTCAAGATATTTCAATCTCAGATTGTGTTTGCTCCCAGTCTTTCACTTTCAATTTATAGTCTGGGTTTTCCAGGTTCCTGCTTTTTTGATAGTTGAGGATGGGGCAGGGATTTTTTTCTCTAGCAGTATAGGAAGAAAACATTCTCTCAGAAATCCACACCTGCATGCTACACAGAGTAGAAGACTCTTTGTCCCTTTCAATTTGCATCTTTTTCCTTTTAAGGAGTACATTAGGGATAAGAGTCATATGAGTGACAGTGGGAAGGGAACCATATTTACTGATAAACAGCATCAAAATCCACCATACTTTTTCAGCTTTCCTGCCTTCCTTTGATGCTTGAATTTTTGACCACCTCCTTTCATTCAAGGTAGTTCTCAGCATGCAGCTGGCAAGCAACATAGGCAGCTCTGACAAACTGCTGAGTCCAGATCTCTGCTGATTATAGGACCACGAAGTATCCTGTGAAATAACTGTTGCTCTCCAGAGCCCCACAATGAAAATCAGGAAGCAAGTTAACTGAAACATCATCATGTCTTTGCATTAAGTGAGAATACAAAGGAAACAAAACTAAGAGTGAAGAAACCTGACACCCAGTGCTTTAATGACTCCCTAAACCACACAAAACAGCCATCATTGGCAAGCATAGCCAAGCAGTCATGACACTGGAGCAGTCACTTGATAAGAGTGGGGAGATAGGATATCTGACAGAATTGTGAGGAAGGAATGCGTAAGTCCCTCCCAAAACCTTTATTGTTACTGTAACAATGCTTAAATGCTCCCTCCCACAAACCAGCCTGATACAGAGCAGTTTACATGAAACAAAAACATTGCTCATAGAATTCCAGCAATTCAGCAAAGAGATTCCTAGTGTCTCATGACACACAGGATTCTGGGATATTACCCATGAAATTTCACAATAAATAGTGTGTACACACATGTAATCCTGTGTCCAGTGTATACCCGTGCCTAGCAAACATGTGTGGCAAGGGGTACATGCTCTAGCAGTACGGGCATGTATAAATTTGTACAGTCCTAAATGTAGACAGATATAGAGAGTGTATATGGGCCCACTTAACTTCTTCTAACTGAGCTCATAAATATGGTAAATTTGTAGTCAGGGCAGCCTTAGCATGGGCACATCATTCAATTGCACCTACAAAAATAATAAAAACAAGGAGCTAAGCCAAGAATCACTGCAACCTTCTGTGCCAGATTGCACCTACTCATTCAAATGTGGCCAAGCCACCCCTACATCATGGGCCCAGTCCTGTGATGTGTACAGTACTCCAAGTATTGCCAATACCAGGGATTACAAAAATAATGAGTCAGGCCCTCAAAAAAAATCTCGAAAGGCTTTAAAATTAGATTTTAAAGTGAGTTTATTTGAGGTTGGTTATTTTTTATTGGCCTTTTGAATTTTGAGTCTGTGTGTGTCAATCATATACTCAGGCTTTTCTCAAAAACCATGAAGGTTAGACCCTTTGTTTTGTTTACAAAAAAAAAACCATGAATTGAGATTCTCAGATAAAGACTCCTCTCCTGGAGTCCAGAGTCCAGAGTTTGAGAACACTAAAGCTGCAAATTTTGGAAGTCTTACACTAATATGTTGAGAGTTGACCAACATTGCTTCATATCCTTGATTTCAATGGGATAGGAGTAGAACCCTACCAAATTCACGGCCATGAAATGCGTAACACGGATTGTGAAATCTGGTCTTTTGGCTACTTTTATTCTATACTATATAAAGAGAGGCCAGTGTTTGAGTCCCGGCCTGAGAAGCAGTTACAGTGGATTGTATACTATATAAAGAGAGGCCAGTGTTTGAGTCCTGGCCTGAGAAGCAGTTACAGAGGATTGCAAGGTTATTTTACGGGGGTTGCAGTATTACTTCCCTTACATCTACACCTTCTGAGCTGGGTGGCCAGAGTAGCATCTTTTGGCCAGGCATCCAGCCCTAAAGATGGCACCCTGCCCATAGCAGAGCAGAAGTAAGGGCAGCATTACCATACCATGCCTTCCTTTCTTCTGTGCTGGTGCTGGCCGCTCCTTCAGAGTTGGGCTCCCAGCTGGTATCTGTTGCTTTCAATTTGCCCAGCTCTGAATGCACAGCAGCCACCAACAGCAGATCAGAAGTAAGGTTAGTAGCCCCCCCCCCCCCCCAACTCCTTTTTGGGTCAGAATCCCTACAATCACAACACTATAGAATTCCATATTTAAATGATCATATTTCTGAGATTTATGATGTTTAAAATCTGATATTCATGAAATTGACTATCAATTTGGTAAGGCCTTAGATATGAGGGCACTTAGTATGTGTGAGGAAGGGCACAGATCACCATAGGACGGGGTCTAAACAGAGAAAGCTTAATGGCTTCATACAGTACAGCCTGTGTCTGTTTAATTATAGCTTCCTCTGGGACTGTTGCTCTGGTTAACATTACTGCCTTTTGGCAGAACCCTTTTCTTTTCTTAAGTGCGTCCACTGTTGCGAGTATTCCCCAGGGATGGTAGGAGACCTTTGGTTCAATGACTTATGCTAGCTCTATAGCTGTTAATGTTCTCAGCTGCTATTAGTAACTGAGGCCTGGAGCGCTCGCATCCATATCAGTTATCATCAAGGGCTAATTAATAATTTACCTGACTGTATCGTAAAACTCACCATCCCTGGTGAATCTCTACTGTACACTATTGATAGTTTATGAATTCTTTGAGACAACAAATGTTTTCTAACATCATGAGCACTGCTCTTTTGCTTTCCAAGACTGTTATTAACCGCTTGAAATATCAAAGTTTAAGGATTACTTTTGTTCGTTAGCGATAATTTTACCAGGAATATCAAAGTTTAAGGATTACTTTTGTTCGTTAGTGATAATTTTACCAGGTAGTTGTAACTATGTCTGAGGTGGTAAATGCCAAGAGCTTCACTGACTCTGCTCTTGGCCTACATAGTGCATTGCAGTATATTAAGCCTAATTTAGACCTGTCAAACTAGAACAGTGAAGGAGAAGGCTTTGTGCATATTAATGAGACATAGATTTTAGCTCTGCAGCAAAATGAGGGATGATTCAACATTAGAAAAGGCTTCCATATCATTGTATCATTAAGACTTTCTTAAACATGCAATAATTATTTTACAAAACAAAAAATAAATCTCTCATAATAAAACTGGCATAAATGACTTCATTTCCTCTCAATTTTGGGGTATTTTTATTGTAAATACACAGGCATTAACATAGCACTTCTACTACAGTGTTATCAGCATTAATACTGGTACAGTCCACATAAGCAAGAATCATCTCCGCGGTTGGTAGCATTTTCCCCCAAACCAATCCATAGCAGGTGAGCATTCACTGTGGTTCGTACCCCCACATGTAGATGCTAGGTCAAGGGTGGGCAATAAGACTGCAGCAGTTCACCAGGGTTAGCCACTACTGTATTTACCTGCGCCATCGCAAGTATGAGCACTTCCAACTCCTGTTGGCTGCAGATTGCCATTTCCAGCCAATGGGAACTGCGGGAAGCAGTGTGGACTGGGGTACTGCTTCCTGCAGCTCCCATTAGCTGAGAATGGTAATCCATGGCTGACAGGCTCCGCATCTACACAAACCTATGGAGACACAGGTAAATATAGTTGCCCCCTGCTGTGCTAGGTACAATGGCTTGCAGAGAGGCAATAGCAGGTGTGGGCTGAACACTTTTCAGAGAGGAACTCTGAAGGCAGCCAAACTTGTGGTGTAGTCTTGGACTAGATTTTGTCTTCTCTCATTCAGAGGTCTTTACATGAATAAAGCTAAACTCCAAGAAGGGGCAAGTTTTTCCACTTACTAGAGTTTATGTAGATGCATTTTGGAACCATTGCTCAAACAATAATGTTTAATATCCTAAGTTGCTAACAGTTCTCATGAAACAGAAGATCAGAGGACATATAGCGAATATTTTACCACTACTCTAAACTAGTTTAATCATTTGTGAGGAAAATATTATACCCTCCCCAAGCACAAATATTTGACAGTCTCAAGATCTCAAAAGCGTAGAATACATGCAAATTTCCCATTGATGTCAATGTCCCATAAGGGGATGTAAATGGGCCTCAATATTTTGACATCACGACAATTAACTCAATGGGATCTATACTGCCTTTATTTGGATAACTAAAGAGAATCTGATGCTTAGAAAATGCAGGTACTAAAGCTTTTGTTCAAGCGAGTTGTGCCTGGTAAAACTCCTCTCTCAAAAAAACCACACCAAAGGTCATCCATGGGCTGAAAAATGCCTATGATTTCAAGGCCTGATTTTTCCTTTTTCATTTCTTGGCTCAAGACAATTTCCTCTTTCCTTCTGAATACATCACAACAGAATACCAGCTTCCAACACCAGGAGAAAATGCATCTTTACAAAAAAGTTGCTGGTGCATTTACTAAACAATTTTAAATATTACTGTATTATTGGCCCTCTGAGGGATTGTAACATCCCTGTTTTACAAATAAACCTGTCAGATCCCATTCCCGCATTTTCACTTCTCATTATGCTAAACAAAACTTCCCATTTCCTTCTGTCTTCTGCTCTTACTTGGGATTGCTAAACAAAACTTCCCATTTCCTTCTGTCTTCTGTTCTTACTTGGGATTTCGTTCGTGTGTGTGTGAGTGAGTGAGTGAGAGAGAGAGAGAGAGAGAGAGAATGGGAAAAGGTGGGGGGATGGTTAGCTTCATTTCACTTAAATTGATTTGATAGAACTATTGTTATCCCACCCTCTTTCCATTTTTGTGAGCAAGGTGTCCTCAAACAAATTCTTTCTTGATTTTCAGATGAATCAAGGTGGAAAAGCCAGTACAATTTTCACTGGAATGGGTTGGAATTTTTAGTTAACCGTTTCATTTAAGTGATTGCTAGTTTTTAACTATGCAATAAAAAAAATAAGTCATACATGCAGTATATTTCTGAATAACTTGCATCAGATTACTCAGAACCTACACTTCCACAACTCCATGACCAGGTTATTATTTATTTCAAAGGCCAATATTTTATTACCAAATGGCTTCAAAGTGACAGACAGTTTCCGTGGCTGCATGCCACTTTCCAGGCAGCTTTACATATTTAGGGATCCCAGACCACTTTAAAAAACTTAATTAAGTCTCAGATATTCTATGTAATAGATAAATATTGTTATAGCAAGCACACTAGATGTGCTTTTACATAGCATCTTATATTTTAGTGTGCAAGCATATTTTTAGCCTTGAAAGAGAACATCCTGTTGTTAGATTTGTAAAGCAGATTCGTATGGGGAGCTGTAGCTAGTACAAGGAATCTTGCTCTATGTTTTAGTTATTTTAAACAGAGTCAGTTCTTGAATCATGGGAGCCAGGCATTGGTGACTGGCCTGAGATCCCTGAAAGAAGAGATTGTCTGAATGCTGATTGTGACCACCTCTGCCCCAGAACTGGCATACTGTATAGGTATAAGTAAAGCAGTTCTGTCTAATAATATATCTTGACTCATTGTCATTGATTTCTCTGACAGTAGGAAGCCAAACAAGATATCTACTATAGAACAGTAGTAGGGAGACAGTAGGCATGAGACACAGAAAGTGCGTATCTGAATCACTTCTGTACTTTATAGCACAGTTTCCTCTGCTTTTATCTGTTAAAAGGTAAAGAAGTCAAAAGAAAAGATATTTTTAAACCATATCATGTTTGGCCTCATAGCTGCTCCTCCCCCCCAAATATTGCAGCAGATGAATTACACAGAACCTGACAATTCTCATGGGGACACGTTTCAGAAATGGAAAGAAAAGAAACCATGTTTTTTATATTAGAAATTTGTTAGCTGACCCAAATTTTCACAGACTCAGGCTGGTAGTTCCAATTACCTGCTTTAAGCAGATCTCTTAGCTGAGGAGATAGGCAACCAATCTCCAGTCAAAAATCACTTAAACCATCTAGGTCTCCTTTGTAGTGTACGTTTGGTTTGGAAGGAATTCAAGGTTGTTCACAGGGAATAAAACTCACATCTAGCAGCATGAATCAGTATCATTAAAGCTCAACAATCATTTCTGGGTAGTTTAATCATAAATCTAAATGGGAATCTCTTCTGATATAAAGTGTGATAAATCTATGTCTTCAGCAGAGATATTTTCTCTCTCACACACACATATGCACATGCACACACAATCAAATACTTAGAATTTCAGTAACCAGGATCTGGATCAGATTTATCTTGTATAATTTTATATGGATTTTTACCCTTAATATGTTTCTAAATGTACAAGGACCACCCAGTGGGGAAAAATGACAAGCTAATATCATTACTATAATTCAACTCCAATAAAGTTGAATTCTTCCTACAAAGGCAACATTATATCTTCTCATGTTCAGGTATTCTTTGTTTTCAGGTAGTCTTTGTGATTACCAAAAGGATAAAGTAAGCCTCATTACAGGAGAGAAGTAGAAAGTTTTAGAATATGTTTCAAATGTAGTTCACCATTAACATATATACACTCAGGAAAGCAAACCACCGCTTTCTAGTTATCAATGCAGATGGTTACATGAAAGGATCAAATAGATTCAAACTTCCTCTGCCATATTGAAAGAAAAAAAATGACACACCGTTCGAGCCAAACTTTGCTGATAGCTGGTGCCTTTCTGTAGACGAAGCTGAATGGAGGTGGTTGCCTTGAGAAGGCTCTCGTGACTGCCCAAAGCACGATCACTGCAATTGGAAGCGGGTTGGAGGGAATGGAGAAAGAGAAAACAAAATAATAATCTAGTCACCAGCTGCTAATTTTTCTCTCACTGATAAACACATTTTCCACCACTCTCCAGCAACTCACGCTAAGCATCTAATAGAAGGCTGTATTATGTGAGCACAGTATATTAAGCGTAGAAAGGTTCATGATGTTTTCACCATGATGGCCTGATTTTAAGGGCTGGATGGAAAAAGAGTAACAGAATCCTCAGTGTAGTTGATTTAAAACTTGCAAGTTCTGTAAAAGGAACAACAATGAAAAAAAGATGGAAATAAAAAAAAGATGCCCAAAGCCATACTCTCTCTCTCTAGCACCTGTTGCTATCTCTGCTTAAATCTCAATTTACTATGGGTTATTAGTTAGAGCACTTAGGACATAATGAATTATTACTTATTTATATTGGTGCCTAGAAGCCCTAGCAATCAGCGAGAATCCCATTGTGCTAGGCACTGAACTATTAGAATTAAAAAATGGCCCCTGTCTGAAGATATTTGCAATCTAGGACAAGAAGCAACAGATGGATACAGATAGTAACAGGGATTATGAAGGAAAAAGTGAAACCATACTGGCCAGCATCATAGACCGTAGACAATCTATTATTTCAGCATCTTAATATAACTAAATAGAACATACTTGATGAAAAATTGTAGCTGTATTTAACTGGTTTTAAAGGCTGTGTGGAAAAGATAATCTAGATTTACAAATCAAATAGATACATAAACATGGCGACAGACCCTCAGAAGTTCCAAAGCTGTCCTTGTGCTGCTGAGACGGAGAAGGCAAAAGTGGTTGTAAGTCAGTTTTGAGCCCACCTCTAATCATAGTGTCATCCCAGGCAGCCACAGGGTTACTCTACCTTACACGAACTGAAAGATTCACTAGGGAATGGTCTGCCTAGACTAAGTGTTCTAATCATCTGCTAGCAGAAGGATCCTCCAATCCTCCTGTGCTTTGTTAAAATAGCTTCCAATCCTCAGCATCATTGCTTCAGCTCTCCCCTGGGCTGTGGGTCTGTTCTGGTATTTCTAATGTTTTGTGGAGTTAGCTTTGCTCTATTTGTTATCATTATGAAAACGTGTGAAATAATACAAAGTAATAGCCACTTAAAAGCCAGATCATACCTTTTTTTCAAATTAAAAAAAATGATAGGGGTTATTGACATTGATTTTTGCAAGGACAGATTATTGGAACAAGTTAACAAGTGCCATCCTGTGCACGTTCTGTCAGATTCATGTTACCTCTTTCAGGCATGAGAGCAAGGAAGACTGATCTATATTTATATTGCTTCTCTGCATATCAAGTTGTACCAGAGGTCCTTGGGCCAAGTAGGAGAAACAGGTTTGTAGGTGCACTTCCCCACCTATGGAGTGCCCTCTTCTGCCTAGACAAAGCACTACAGAGTAATTTGCCTCCTCCCCTGACTCTATGTTGCCAGCTCCTCCCCTTCTCTCAACCCCCCCGCCCCCGCTCGCCCCCACCACTGTGACTTTCTTAGGTATGATGGCCAGTCCCTGCCAAAATCCACCCTTTCTCTAAGTTTTCTATGGCTTGGCCCTTTGGTTAAATCATATAACAGTTTACTCCCCATCTAGAACAAAAGATACAACTTAAAATCTAAATCAAATGCCCAAAGCACTAGTTCTGATGCTGCTCTCAGACTCCATTGCTTCTTGGCCCCTTCTTCTGGCCCCTGCAGAAGGTCTTTCATCTTTCTGCTTCATTTCACCAGGGACTTCAGCAGTTTACTTCTGGGGATCCTCCTACATCTATCTCTGGCCTCACTGACAGGAGTCTACTCTATTCCTTGTGAGTCTCTTTTTCTTGTTCCAGGTCCTAATTCCAACCTCTCCTGCCCAGTGGGCACCTCAGCCTCTTCCCAGAGGGACATTCCCTTTATTCCTCCCCCCAAGCTCTTCCCACTGCTGCTGACTTCATAGCTCTATTTGAAGAGTGCTCTGCCCGTTTGACCACTACAGCTGGGGTTAGTTTTTCTAATTAAATACTCATTACACCAAGCTGCAATCACCAATTAGCTCTATGTTGCCAGTTCATCAGTGAGGCTGAGGGGTAGCTGTAAAACTATGAACAAGACTAAGCTTAAACTTGCCTAATAGGGCCAAGTAGTCCATGACAAGATTCTTCTCAGATTTACCAATCATCAGGAGAGGTGTGGAATTTAGATGGAAAGTAGATGTAGCTATAGCTAAAAGAGTTCTATGTAGAGGGTCTGAAATCAGATGTATGGGTTTAATCCCCAAAACACTGGCCCCATTAATATATGGCAGAAATATGGGCTAATAGAATGTGTATATAGCAGATTAGGAATTATTGTCTGTCAAATGGGAATGTCTAATGAAAATCAAGGTCAAGCTTAAATCATTAACTAGCACAGTGCCTAGCTGTCAGATATAATTACAAAGGATTCAAACTTCTGGGGATTTTTGACTTCTAGGAGTAAATGTTCTACACCTATCCCACAGTGTAATTAGGACAAACACATGATCCCCATTTCCAGGCACAAAAGGTAAAAATGCAGAAGTGGCATTTTGTGACCAACACAAAAGGAGAACTCTATTTCCATCTGACAGAATAAATACCTATAGCAAGATCCTTTGACAGTGCTTCTGTGCATTTGCAAGATTCCTTACTATTAATGGCAGACAGTACAGATTCAGATACAAGAAAGGTAGAGTGCCAAAGCACAATCTACCACACTGGATTAATGAAGTATCTGTACTGCTATTGTCAACCCTACTCCTCCCCCCCTTTCCACACATTCCTCATTCTCACCATTGGGGTTTTGCATGGCTGTAGCCTCTCCTAAATCTCTCCTGTCACTTCCCATTAAGCTCTGATGCTTTGCCCATGCATCTTGCCACACTGCTCCCATGACACCATCTCCTGCTCTTGTCTTCATTATCCCTTTACTAGCTCCAGATCTGTGATGGTAGCCTGTTTCCTATATACCACACATCCTCATATGCCTCCTTCAAATGCCTCCACACAGCTTTTAACTCCACCATTGATTCTGCACCTCCCCTCTCATCTTACCATCAACCTCGACTATAGCTTATGGGAAATCAGGGGAAATTATACATATTAAATCTTGAATCTCTTGGTCATGCTTCTATGCACTTTGCACAAATGTTTGGAGAGAAGCCTTTTACTTAGGCAGATATTGGGTCATGAACGAATAGATCAAGTGGATTAATGGCTTTTGAGAAAAATATAATCAAGTTAGAAATCCATGTTAAGTCATAAGAAAAAATAAATGCCATGGTCCATATTCGGTTCCTACTGGTCACAAGTTGATCATGGACTGAGAGGCTATCAATGGCCCAATCTTGAAGCAGTACATGGGGCTGCAGCACCTCACAAAACCTGGCCCCCTGCATCAGTTACCCCACCTACAAAATGGAGAAAAAATTCATCTGAACAATATAAGAAGCAGAACATTATTATAAACACAACACATTCTGGCACATCTCTTCTCTCAGTTGTACAGGCAGTCCCTGGGTTACGTACAAGATAGGGACTGTAGGTTTGTTCTTAAGTTGAATTTGTATGTAAGTCAGAACTGGCTCCAGATTCAGCTGCTGCCACTGAAACTGACCAGGGGCTGACTACAGGAAGCCGGAGGCAGAGTTGCTCTGCCCCCAGCTTCCTGGAATCAGCCTGATCAGTTTCAACAGCTGCTGAATCTGGAGCCTGGGACAGAACAGCTGGGGCGCTGCCCGGTAGGTTCCCACAGGACCAACCCGGCAGCACCCCAGCTGCTCTACCCAAGG